ACGCTGCACTAATATAGTGCAGTAAATAACAAAGCAGCCACCAATAAGTGGTTTAAAATATTTTTTTCCATTAAATGAGTTTCCTTTCAGCAGTCTTCATGCAGAACACTTCTGCATATCCCAACCTCATCAACCGAGCTCTGCCTCAGCAGCCAACTAAGAGCCACGTCCCCGCRTCAGCCAGCTCCTCATCCAAGGCAACGTACTCTGCTCTCGGSGGGGATTTTTAGCTAGGACTTGGCATTTAGCTCGTGCAGTCACACGCTTCTGGCTGGCACGAGGCACAGGCAGGAGCCTCTCAGGGTCTCTCCGGGTACAGGCACAGACCTACCTGAAACACAGCGAGGAGATTTAGAGGTTTATCTTCAGGCTGAGCTTTAAACTGTGGTGATTTTAACCAAAACAGAGCCAACCGCTTTTATTTATTGCTCTTGAATCCCTTCCTCACAGCCCATGGCCTTGCTTTCCCCATGGTTTGAGGCCCCTGCAGGAACGGCACGTGAGGCCCTGCCCGGCCGCGCTGCATTGGGCGCTCAGAGCCGCGACAGCCGCTCCGCCAGGTGAAAGGCTCTGGACAACCAGCAATGCGCAGCACAACCTCTGATCTTTTGGCTGTCTCTTACGCTGTATTATCTCTGCAAACATGCCCTTCCCTTAATCTCCTCCCAGTCKTTTCCCAGACAGAGTAACCAAAACCCATTTCCATGTCTTTTCACTGGCTTCTTTCTGCCAAACATTTCCCAGGCTCCCTCCTTGTGCCTACGGTCTGCAAATTCTGTCCAAGGTGACTGTTTTGTTGTTTTTAAATGGACCTTTGCCCTTCTCTGTCAGTCTGTTTATACAGACTATTTTCTTTTAGGTGAAACGCTGCTTCGCTGAGTTTCATTCACTCACCTGCAGCCGGCCTGCCCATGCAAAGGGRTTTCCATGCCAAGGATTCCATGTAAGGGTATCCCAGGGGAAGTGTCACCRGCTGGGGCTGCTGAAACCCAAGAAYGGRACCCAAGAATGGGGCCATTGTGGAGAGGGCTCCAGACCACCCCCAGCCCTGCGCAGCCGGGGCTGCTGCAGCGAGCGCCGCGCCTGCCCCTCGCCCATTTGACATCAGTGACCCAGCACARCAAACAAACAATCTCGTATTCTCTATACCCTTCTTTCAACTTTCATATTCTCTGTATTTTTCTTTTGATCATGTGGGGAAGAGTCCAAAAACAACTCTTATATAATATCAACATCAAGCACYGTGCTGGCAGTGTAAACGTCATATTTTAATTGTGGACGATAAAGAAACGTATCAGTGGTTTTAATGTAACAGTTTTCATACATGGATGTGAGGTTTGAAAGGCTAYATGGTAATTACTCACAAACATAGCCGAGGGATTAATTAATAGCTTATCTGGTACTATTCATCAGTTGATGTACAAAGGAAATCAATGTTTTTATTTCTCTGCTATTGGTTAAGAAGCATGGAGAGAAGAAAGGACTTGATTATATCTCCTGTTTATACCTTCTGCTAACAACTTAATGGCTTTGAGAAGTGTTAATGACTTATGAGCTTATCTAGCTTTAGGAGGCCCTGGAGGCCCGTTAAGCAACTGTCAACCTTGACCTAAATAATTTCTTTACATTTCAATCTATTGGTTGTTTTCACCTTTACCATCCTTACAGAGAGTAACTCAACACTACAGAGTTATATCTTCATTTATCAAGATGCCCATGGGCTTCCCTAAAYCCATTATAAACATCGCGCCTTGGCAAGGCCTTGCCAAGATTTGGACGTGTTCAACTTTCAACACTGAATGCAATTCCCAGGACTTCGAGGGATGTGTGAACACAATGTGTAAAGAGAAGTCCTTGCAGAATTAGAGCATGGATCAGTATCTTTGCTGGAAAYGATGCATTTCAACATGAGGCATTACAAAGAGGTTGTGATTGTTTTTCCTGTAATTATGCACTCGGGAGYAGAGTGCAGCCACTTTAACTCAAAGATTGCTTTATACTAGAAAGGTTGCCCTGCAAATATTTTGGGTGCCTGAACAAATGAATACAAGAGCATGGTCGTATCCAAGTACCAGAGCCCCGTGTGTCCCTGCTGCAGCTTCCCACCCCTGCCTGGGCCCGGGCCCCACACTCCTCCTCCTTGCACTGCAGTGAGTCTTTGGGGCAGGAGGACAGAGGTTTTGTTGTACTAAGCATGTATTCTTATTAAAGCTGCACTTGAAATAGGGCTGTTAGGCACAGCTAGGCTCTGTTTGTCTTCTGCTCTCCATTATTCTTTAGACATAATGCAGAGCCTGCATTAGTGCAAACTCCAAAACTTGCAGGCTTGGGGGCAGGAAATCTTTCCAAGACAGAAGGGCCAGCWTTATTCACACTGGATAATATGCAGATACCTGTGATTCAATCTTTATCTTTTTAGTAGGAATTTGTTTATGATTTGCCGTGTAAACGATACTGAATTATTATACTCATCCAAAGACATCGGGTATGTCCTCAAGCAACTTGGTCACACATAAGAACACGGCCCTGGTACTCWCATGTGACCATCAGTTTGAGTAATCCACCAGCACTGCTATGATTAAAGCGTAGCCCAGAAGCAGCTGCACTGAGTGCTTGGCAGGCTGCACCAAACACATTACATAAAAACCCCAAAGGAGAGTCCTCCTGTCTGCAGACCCATGTTGATTCTCCAGAAAAGGAGCGGAAAAAGCGGACAGAGCTGATGACAAGACAGTGTGTAGAAAGAGCAGAGGTGCATCTCAGAGGGAGACTGAGCTGCCCGGGTGCAGAGGTAAGCTGCTTCAGCCTACAAGAAAAGAAGAAATTAGCCAGAAAAGCAGTAAAATTTAAGATGAGGTGAATGCAACAACTCCGTTCCTTTCATGAATCGTGTTTGGTCTTTTGCTATCTGGCTAAGCAGGTTTTCAGCAGCTGCAGCTTGTAGTTTCTAACACAGTAAGWTCCAAAATGAAACAATTCTGAGCATTATCAAGGTCTCACTGATGAGTCTATATAGCCACATCCTGCACTCACATTCACAGTTTACAGACACTTTTTTTTCCCTAAAATACAATGATCAAAAAGATATAGCGTTTCTCACCCCACCAAAATGAACAATTCTTGTAAAAATGTTTCCCTTACTACACCAGGACACCATGTCTTATTGCTCTCTTTTCAGCAGCCACAGCACATACTAGAACTTCCACCACTTACATGCCCAGACTCCAGATCCGCAGCTGTTTAACTTTTGTTGCACGATTAATCTGAGTGACATCCGCGTGCAGGACTCCGGGGGCCTCCAATATAATTATTGCAACTTCTGTCACTGCCACCTGTGCGGACTGTGCACTCTGCTTCAGGGACCTGGGGAACCGCCAGGACAACCCAGCAGCTTGCAGGAATTTTTACATACCTCTAAGGTCAGACAGCTGCACAGCATRAGATTTATAGTTTTCTTAACACGGTCTGATGGCTTCATCTGAGTCCCATTCCTGGTGCCAAAGTAAGTGTTCTAGAAGGTATCCAACCTGACAAAGTGCTTGTCAGGAATTTGGATGGTTGAGGACAAGCCATAAAACTATGTGTTTGACCTCACCCATTCGTCAAATGTTCCTTACTTAGCCATGATATTTWAGGGTTAATTCACATTTGGGGAAATATCATCGGTGCCCACATCACTCACACCACTTCCTGCATAATGAAGGAAAACCAGCCGTGTTCTTGCTCTCCTGAGAACGAGAGAGCCTGTGAAATTGCTGGTTACATGCAAAGTACTGGTTATACAGGTTTGGGATCGCCCTGGGATGCCTGGGTTGCAGTRTCTGGGAAAGGGTGCAGCAGAAAGGCGAGAGCGCCGAGTATCGTCCTGCACCTGGATGAAGTTTCACCGAGACCCTGGCCAGGCCTGGAGCACGAAGCCTCGTGAGGATGGAAGACTGAGGAGGGTCACGGGTGTTTTCACATTGAAGGGAGGAGGCTCTTGGTGGAGTGCATGTTCTTGGGTCATGTGCTGTGAATAGAACCCCAGCAAGAATAAATTAACAGCCGGTATCACATTTGAAAATGGGGTTTTGAATGTTTCTTTTCCCAGGTAACAGATGAAGCCACTAGGCTGTAACGTAAAGGGTGAACATCTTGCCCYGGGAAATACCCAATCATTTACACAAATACTCATAACTGAGCATCCTCAGGAGTGAGCTAGATCCTCTGTCCCACATAATTTGAGGTGCATCCCTTGCAGCCTTCAGATGAGGTTTCAGAGTCGTCCTGATATTTGTTTCAGTATCAGCCAATTCCAAATAGCAACCTTATCAGCCTGGAGATTTCCTGGATGCCTCTCAACATACCTGCCTTTTCCACTGCATTGCTGAGGGAGCCCGAGATCTTAGCTTTGGCCTCTAGATTCCAGCTGAAAGTTTAGGAGTRAAAATGGAAGCACTGTGGTGCCCCACTTGTACCCACGTGCGGGTTTTCTTTTGGCTGTGGGTTCAGATCTTTGTTATAAAACAGAAGATCTCACTTGTACTAACAGCTGTGGTTATAAATACTTCTCCTGAAACCACCAAGAATTCAAAATTAGTAAGAAATAGGGATATATTCCCCATATTGTGCCTTCTCTTCCGCCTTAGAATGGGAAAGGAGCAAATGCTGTCAGGAAGGGCACTGGGGCAGCTTTTGCTCCTGCTTTAATGATGAGGCCCTGACACAACCCTGAACGTGAATCAGCTCCATTTCAGGGGAAGCCATAGGAATACCATGGGAATTTGGTACTAGGGATTTCCAAAAAAAAAAAAAAAAAAAAAAAAAAAAAAAAAAAAAGAGAGAATTCAAGAATGAAATAAAGTGTAACCTCTGCAGGTTACGGCACATTCCCACCTGCTCTATATTTCACGCTTCCCACCCAACTCTCTTATATCAAATCTCTCTTCCCTAGTAACCAGGACTATGTGGAATACGCACCAGGTTGATAACCCACTTGTCTCTGTCCCATGTTGAAGGTGCAGATAGTGAAGGAGAATGGAATGAAGAAGGAGAGCGTGGAATCCCTGGTAGCCAGAACGAGGGATTGTCTTCTAGAAATGGGATTTCCACACCACAGCTGCATATTCATAAATATTCATTTTAAAAAGCTTTTTTTTAAAGCAAAAAATTCTTAAAAAGTAAAATGCTAAATCTCCTCGTTTTGATTTGCTGTTTCTGAAGGACACGTTGTCTCTTCCCCTGCCAAGAAACTGGGATTATGGGATAAAGAGGGTAATATTTTTTGTTGTTGTTGCTTTAGGACATGTTAACCTCTTGGAGATGCCACAGGGAGAAAAGTTCCATTTTCCCACCACCCAGACAGCACACTATAAAACTTTAAAACATAGAAACCTCAGTCACTGGGAYACGGAAGTATAATGAAACTGCTTTCCATGTTTGTATCTGTTTCCCACTGGTTTATTACTTCAACTTCTTACTCTTTGTCATAGCAAACTATAACATTGTGCATCTCACCATCTGCATACAATTGGCTAGTCAATAAAGTTCTCTGCATTTCCAGATCATTTGCCAGTGCAGAGGTGAAAAAAAAAAAGAAGTTGGGCAGACTCAGCCCTCATCTAAATGCAGAGGTTGGGGTAGAAAGTGTCTTGTGACACTAGAACATGTGCTGTGCTAAAACAGAGATGTGCCAAGGCCTTCTTACTCCATTGCCTTGAAAATCCAGACCTGTAACTCTGAAGGAAATGCTCAGTGTTTAAACAGTGCTTGTGATTTTTGGCTTTTGTTGCTTATGGGAGGAAACAATTCTTYTTGGAAATTAATGTTTCAGCTTATTGGGGCAATAAAGCAGATTTCTGAGGTAAACTCTGAACTTTCCCTATCACAGCAACATTAGAGCATTTCGATAGTGTGTGAAYGAAACCTGCCTAGAAAATTAGCAAATTAACAAAATGCCAAGCAGACAGGGAARGTGTTACAAAAACTATCAATTAAGAACAAAACCAGGTGCTCTTATGTACGGGACTTGGAGCATTATCCTACAAAACAAATGCACAATCCATGTTAGATTCAAGTCAAGACATTATAGCAGGTCATTGAAATTAGTTTTTCATGTACTAGGTAAAGTTCATAGCGTAGCAACCATAATAGAGCAAGAAATAAATAACAACCAAGTCAAACCTACAGGAACTGTGGATAATGTTTGTTTTTTTTCTTCTTCCTTCCTGAAGACAAACGTACTTGTTAAATCTTATCTAAGCAGAATGTCACAGCAGTTCACTTAAATCTGTATTTGCTACAGAAAGCTGAATTCCTTTAACTTCAATTGAAAACRCTATGCCTGGAATTCATGCATGATAACTTGCAGAGAGACAAACTCAATTTTAATATCTYAAATTGCTTACTAAAGTTCTCTGCAGAATTTGGCAATGACCAAGTATAACCTAAGTGAACTTTTTGCTTATGGCAGTGTACATTAATCAGARAATGGAAATAAAAATACTTCCCTCTTTTTTTTTTTTTCAAATATTCAAGTATTTTCAAGATTCTTAAAATAAGTAAACTTGCCTTCTCAAATCTGGGCACTCACATCACCAATATTCTTAAAAAATAAATAAATAAAATTGGTATGCTTAGCATTTCTATTCAAAACTGCTTAAAAATAATCCTTCCTTTGCCTCTAGGCACTTGTCATTAATATAATAAAYTGTGGGAGCATTTGAATAATTCTTTCACAAGGAAACTGGCCATTCAGACCTCTACAGTTAGTCTTTTCTATCCTTCATCATGCGGGAAATTGTTTTTGGGACTTGTTTTTCTGTCTGTTCTTTAAATTTCCTGTCTTACTCTGCAAGATTTCCCATCTCCTATCCGCAAGGTAGTGAATTTTTTTTAAGAGAATTAAAACTAAGTCCCAGAGTGCTGGGGAGCACCTGGCCAACCTGCTGGTAATCTACTGCTTTAGGAGGGAAAGCCACCTGGCCACTGCTGACTCAGACAAAATGTTCTCCAAGTATGTGAAGTTTTACAGGCCAGAGAAGGTACCTGAAATGTACTCAGTGCCTTAAATATACTCAGTAAGCAGAGGTTATATCTGATGGCTGTCAAGCATGATGCTCAATAAAACACAAAAACATTTTCTGGCAGATCTCCATTTTAGGCTGCACTAAATGCCCTCTACCACTCTTTTTTTTTTTTTTTTTAACAAGAAAGAATATTTTTAATAACTAAATTTTAATAATTTTAAAAGTTGTTCCCGTTTTGAGGTCACACATTTTTCCTGCTAATAGTTCAAATAAACAAGTTGCAAGCAAACACACGGACACTTCCTGCGTTACAAGAGGAGTTATCTAGTACGTACCACACTGCCGAGCTTCGCTRCATCCTTCGTAATCACTCTGATTTTTTTCCCATACAGTTTTTCACATCTCATTCCAGAATTCATCATGAAGTTAATTAACAGATTTTTGTTTGTTCTCTGTTTAAGGGTAGATGGTTTGTGGCTGGCCCTGGGAAAATATACCAAAGAGAAGGCTCATTTTTTGTTCCTGTCTTTGCATCTTCTGGCCAAGAGCCAGGGTAAAGCCAAAAAAAAAAAAAAAAAGGAAGCATTTAAATTAGGAAGCAGAGTATCTTGTAGGATTAGCACAAAGCAAAATGTTTCCCACAAAGCAGAGAAATGACAGCAAATCCTACACGCTCAAGACAGAAAAATTTATTGTGTACCATTTCAGGGGTATTTTATGTGTGTTTCCTTAGCACACTACTGATCGGAAAGCTGAAATCTGAAAGCTTATTCCTATTTCATTCATCCTTCTTTCAGTAATATCAGAATAAAAAAAAAACTCTTCTATTGGGAATGTTATTGCTAATATTATGATAATGTCTCAAGTGAGGTCAAGGCTGTATAATGCAAATATATGCATCCTATACATATATAATGTACAGTACAGAAAAATATGAGTCATCGGGTACATTCTAATTCTCTTTGCCTTGAGGCAATTTAACATAATTGATGCTCATGTTGTGAAATATTTTCTATTTTTTTTCACAAAAATTTCTTGCATGGATTTATTTCTTTTTCAGCAGCTTAAAGAAAAAGAGGGGAAGAAAATTTTCTCAGTAACCCCAAGGGTGTAAATTTAGAAAGCAAGATGCCAAGACCCTCAGATGTTGACTTAGAAGACATAYCCTGCAGGCTAAAGCTTAACTCAGAACAGTTTGGGGGATAAGAGGGAGCAGAAGTGTATCAGGGAGGAAAAACATTGTGATGCTCATTGCTATTAACCCAATGTCTGCTTCTGACATCTAAAATCTAAAACATGATGGACACACTATGTTAAGCTGACTCTATCAGACCATCAGGTTGCCATAAGTACTCTTCCAGTAAACTAAAGTAGAACTTCTGCTTGGGAAAAATGATTTTCATAAATACCTCTAATCTTCAGCTGAAGACATTAAACGATGGAAAATCTTTGGCTTCTCTTGAGAATGTGCTCTGGTGGTTAACCACGTAAAAAATGTGTGTCTTCTCTCCTCTTTGAATTCGTCTGGCTTTTGCCTCCAGCCATTGCTTACTATGCCTTTCTTTGCTAGATTAAAGAGCCCTTTAATATCCAGCATTTTCCCCCAGGAATGTTCTTACACACTGCAGTCAAGTCACCTCTCAATCCTCCTTCAGACAACTTCAACAGCTGGAGCTATTAAAATCTCCCTGTGCGATGCCTTTTCTCCAGCCCTCAAAACATTTTGCTTCCCTTCTTTTTGTTTTTATTTCTCAACATCCTGCTTTAAAAAAAAAAAATGAAAAGCAGAACTGTATGCACCATCGCAATGCTGATCTCTGCAATGATATCCACAAAAGTAAAATTAACCTTTTTTATTTCATTATTTATAGATTAATTAATCTTTTTCTGTCACAGCTTCACTCATGAGAACCCTTATCAAACTGCTTATTCATTCTGACCCTTAAATCCTTTCTGTCATCTCCTTTCCAGGGCATGTGTATACATGTACATCTACATCTACATATTCTTTAGTTATAGCTGGTACAGTTGGTTCTTGGGAAGACAACTTTATATTTCAGTGGATTTGGGGATATATTTCTGGATTAAAACCAGAATGGGTTTTACAAAGCGTCCTCATCGGTGCCTTGTCCTCATTATTTTGGACTGCAATCATCTTGGCTCTTAGATTTGCTGCTAAAAACCACAGCACAACATAGGGCCGACCACTGGTTGCTCCTTAGGCACCAATTCTCCAACCACATTTCCCTGCAGGCTCCATCTTCTCGATGGCAAATCCCGTTTGTGGGTTTACTGGCAGCACCTACATTTAATGTTACTGGCAGGAGCAGGCAGGTGTCTCCTCAAAGTGCTGCCACTGATGCTGCAAGATGACTGCGCAATAGCTGTTTTTACCCTAACGCTGTGTAGATGTGTATCTTGCCCTCTTATTGTAACCTTTTATTGCTGAATTACACATCAAGCTTTCTGTCATCATGGCTGATAGCTACTAAGCTATCTAGCTACTTGAGTCATGTTTACCCTTTCTAAAAAATGCCGCAAACTAACAACACTTTCACCACCTTGTTCATCTCTCAGATATAAACGAGGKTATCTGAGATATTTCACCACTGGGAAACCACGAGCAGTGTCGGTTTGGCAGGCTGACGCCCCGGGGAGCACCGGGCACTGCAGCTGCGACTCCCATTCCCGTTTTCCACAATTCAGACCCTGTAAGGGTGAAACGGGGCCCCCTCACACACCTTTCAACGCACGCGACGCCCAGAGCTCTGCTCGCGAGCGGGTTTAAGGCGCCCGTGCCGCCCGGCGGGGGCAGGGGCCGCATGGCGACCGCGGGGAAACGGCCGCTCGCCACGCGCGGGGCGGGAAACGCGCTCCTCGGGGGCGCCTTCCGCGCTCGGGCCTCGGGGCGCCSACACCGGCCAGAGTAACGGCTGAGGAGCAGAGCGGGGAGCAGCACGGGGGAGACCCGAGGGCGGCGCGGACACCCYAGCCCCGCCGCTCCCGCCCCGCCCCGGCCCCTCGGTCGCGGCTCCCGCCCCGTCGCCTCCCTCACGCTCGAGGCCGCCGCACACCGCCCACTGCCTCCCGCCGTGCCAAGCCCCCATTGGCTGCCCTCCCCGTGGGGGGGCGGGATTGGGTGGGAGCCGCAGCCAATGCGCGCCGCGGAGGGGTGTGCAGGGGCGGGGGAGCYGCGCGCAGGCGCGGTGGGCGCCGCGCTGAGGGAGGGAGCTGGCGGCGGGCGCCGGGCTCGACGCTTGAGGCGGCGGCGGGAGCCGAGCGCAGCCGGCGGAGGCGCCCCCAGCGCTTCGCTCCCTCCGCGGGGGGAGCCGAGGAGCCCCCCGAGCGCGTCCGGCGCGGGCAGCGCCCGAGGTGGCGGCGGCGCCGCGCTGCCGCCCGCCATGTCGCTCTACCGGCGGCTGTCCCGGCTGGCCGCGCACCTGCAGGACCCGCAGAAAGTGGCCGCCTTCCAGCGGCTCTGCGGCGTGGAGGCGCCCTCGGGCTGGGCCGACGCGCAGCCGCGAGCGGGGGGCCGCGGGCCGCTCGCTAACG